TGGTGTCTGGGAAGTGTCTTTCTCATTTGTGCCAATTTTATGAAACTGATCAGGGATATTCATGACGAGTTGTTATAAAAATGGAGTTTCTGGTAAGCATCTCCAAGAACACTTTCCTGAAATACCTTCTGTGGTACTTCAAGTAGGAAAATGTTCATCAATTAGGAAGATCTGATAGTGAGAGACGAACATAGTGTATTTTATCTCTGGACTCAATATGTCAGTTTTAGAGAGTTTAGCTATTGATTTTTTTTTTGCAATGACTGTCAGCAGCTTTTATATTGTGCCCATGACAGGCAAGATACAGTAGAGTATAGGAGATAATTCATTGCTTCAAAGGCAGACAAAACAAATGACACATGGTAGATGTTTAAAATATGTATCATTCACACACCACTGACAATTGGAACTCTGGGAACAGAGAGAGAATTCCCTAAACTTTATAAGGCAGCCCTGGGAAGTTATTTTTATTTTTTTTAGTGGAGGTACTGGGGATTGAACCCAGGATCTCATGCATGTTAAGTACACGCTCTACCTCTGAGCTATTTCCCTCCCTCCTACTTATTTTTAAAGCATATCTGTCATCATTATAATTGACCAAATAAATTATAGACTGCCCATCACAACTTTTTTACTCCCATATCCCTCAGACTCTGAACCACATTACTCCTGTACCCTTTGACTCCCAAATGTTCTTACTTTGTCCGCTAGTCCTCATACAGTCACAGGAGAATTAACAGGGCACACATATGTACACACACACACATACTGGGAGGTAGTACGCCCAGTGGTTAGATGGATATTCCTGAAAAAACACCCAGCTTCAAGTCCTGGCTCCACTTGAAACCAGCTGTTCAAACTTAGGTAAGTGACTTAGCCTCTCTGTGTCTCAGATTCCTTATCTGTAGGGATAACAACAGTGACTACCTCTCAGGGTTATTGTGAGGACTAATTAGGTCATCTATGCAAAGGACTCAGAAGAGTGCCCACTGGCATATAGTCAGTATTCAATAAATAATAATTACTATTATATATATTAACTCTTGACAACTGAGTTTGTTGAACTTCAGTGTGCAAGTGTGTGTTTAATGATTACACGAGCTGAGTTTTGCTTTGACTACAGCTAAAGTTAAGTTGCTTTGTCTAAGTAAACATGTGGGAGGAGCTGGTCCTCCAGTGTGCTACCAGACAGACGGAGTGACTCCAGGACTGAAATACATCTACTAAGGGGCCAGCCTCCACGCAGACCATCGAGTTGGCTTTATAAACTTTATGGAGTGATATCCCACCGGTCCTCCAACAGACACTTTTTACCCAAACCTAAAACATCACTTCAAGGTGAAACTACCAGATTCCAGTGCAATTAGCTCACTTTGTGAGTGTGCCCCCTGCCTCCCCAGTGCACGGAAAATTGACTCCACAGATGCCCACTTTCTCAGGAATGTGTAGGTGAAGCAGTCCGCCTAGAAGACTTCCAGAAACGGGACCTCCTGTGCTCATCCGGGGTAAAAGAGCCACCTTCTTCCACGACTTCACATCGTTGCTGGTTACGTCTGGACTTCCTTTTCTTCACGCTAGCCAGGACCTATCCCCTTTCTTTAAAGTCTCCCAGCGCCAGTCGTCCTTCTACATTGTCTACCCCACATCACGCCGAGCCTCCCACTCCTAGACCCCTCCCAAGCCCCAGCCACCCCCGTTCTCCTCCCTTCTGGAAATGCTTCTCTGAGCCATGCCAAGTTTAAATGGGCTTTAGCTAAAGTTCAGTCTGCATGTAGGGGCTGGGAGGAGGGAGTTTTCTTTGATCCACCTAATGAATTAATGAATTAAACAGAGGTGGAGTTCAGAAGCCAGGCTCCTTACTTTTGCCGAAGCTGGGCTGATTCCGAGCTGGCGTAACTGCTGGAAAAATGCAGCTTTGGGCTAGAAGAATTAGGGACATGGCCGAGTCCATTCATCTTCCCTAATCGAGTTCTTGGGAAATACACATGTAGATTAGCCCCTAACAATGACCCCCGGCTGATTGCTTGGAGTACCCTCCACCGTGCCCACAACAGTATTGACTAGCTCTTTATGTTCCGCACAAAAGAAGTCCCAGCCTCCCCTTGTCCTGCTTTGCCCTGTTTCCCTGGCAGTCCCTCGCCAGTGGCTGTTGAAGTCTTTTCTGCTTTTCACCCGGAGACTCTGAAATAAACAGTAAATAAAAGCTAACCTCACCTGGACCTATTAGGGAGAGCTGGGCAGTTCCAGAGGGAATTAACTTTGGAAAACAAGGCCATAAGCCCCTTAGCGTGTGGGCAGCAGCTTAAGAAAACGCTGCCAATCTTTGTTTAGTGGTGATTATAGAGATCAATTTAATATTGGGGGAGTTTACATAAAAAGCATAGTCGGTCAGTGTGGAAATAACAAATACCAATTACTCATCCCTACGGCTGCCCTCTGGTCACCAAGGCATCAGCACCTCTGGTTCATCGGACCTTGTCGGGTGCCACCAGAACGTTTTTAGGGAGAGTGCATTTAACAGCTTAGAAAATGTGATGAGGGCCCCGGGCAGCAGGCTTCCCCTTGTCCTGTCGTCCTGGACACCAGGGCCCAAAGGCCACTCACTGTCTACAGGCCTTGACTCCATCTCTTTGGGGAACTAAGCTGCCTCCACCTCAGCCTCTTACATGCAGGGGTCAGTCTCCAGGAAGGATTCAAGACGCACTGCAGACTAAGATGCGCCTTGATTCTGTTAAAAAATATCACACTCTGCCATAGGAAGCACAAATGAAGGGGCCAGAGAGCCCTGGACAAGGAGTTGGCTGGCCTGAGTTCTAGTCCTGACCCCTCCACTTAATAGCTGTATCACTTTGAGCCTCAGTTTTCTCTTCTGTAAAATGGGGGCAAATTGTCCTGTGCACCTCACAGGGTTGTGAAAATCAGATGATACAAAGGATGTTCAAGGACTCTGAAAACTGAGGGGAAATGCTGTAAAGTGCATATTGGTTTTCATTAATTTAGCTTTTTCTTAAACTTAAAAACAATCTCTCACTTGAATCAGCTTAGTTCCATCTACTGCAAACTCCCATGTTTGCTATTTTATTTACCTTTTATAGTTTTATTTAAAATACAGTGATTTGCGTACTGATCACCCACCCCCAAGTGCCCATCAGGGAGAGTTAACCATTTCCATTTAAAGATCCTTAATGTAGTTACACGTCCTTTTGAATGTCCTTCTAACATCAATTTAAAGGTAGAGAAGCTTAAAATATGTATTTTTCTCTTGTTCCTTCCTTTGTCTTATCTCCCAGGCTGGATGTTAAATTCCTTAAGGCTACCAGCCCCAGCCTTTCCTTTCTTTTGTGATGCTGACATTG